AAAGGAACAGGAGGGAGGATGGGAGAGAGGATGGGAGAGAGGACTGGGAGAGAGGACAGGAGAGAGGATGGGAGAGAGGACTGGGAGAGAGGACAGGAGAGAGGATGGGAAAGAGGACTGGGAGAGAGGACTGGGAGAGAGGATGGGATAAAGGACTGGGAGAGAGGACTGGAAGAGAGGATGGGAGAGAGGACTGGGAGAGAGGATGGGATAAAGGACTGGGAGAGAGGACAGGAGAGAGGACTGGGAGAGAGGACAGGAGAGAGGATGGGAGAGAGGACTGGAAGAGAGGACTGGGAGAGAGGACTGGGAGAGAGGATGGGAGAGAGGACTGGAAGAGAGGACTGGAAGAGAGGTTGGGAGAGAGGACTGGAAGAGAGGTTGGGAGAGAGGACTGGAAGAGAGAACGGGAGAGAGGACGGGATGGAGGACGGGAGAGAGGACTGGAAAAGAGGATGGGAGAGAGGACTGGGAGAGAGGACTGGAGAGAGGATGGGAGAGAGGACTGGGAGAGAGGATGGGAGAGAGGACTGGGAGAGAGGACTGGAGAGAGGATGGGAGAGAGGACTGGGAGAGAGGACAGGAGAGAGGACTGGAAAAGAGGATGGGAGAGAGGACTGGGAGAGAGGACGGGATGGAGGACGGGAGAGAGGACTGGGAGAGAGGACTGGGAGAGAGGACGGGATAGAGGACGGGAGAGAGGACGGGATGGAGGACGGGAGAGAGGACTGGGAGAGAGGACGGGATGGAGGACGGGAGAGAGGACTGGGAGAGAGGACTGGGATGGAGGACGGGAGAAAGGACTGGGAGAGGATGGCAGGTGGGTTGGCAGAGGTGGCGGAACGTCCCAATGGGGACCCACAGCTGCATCGCAGCGGTAAAACTGGACACATCGTAAGGATGGATGAAAAGGAGCAGAGCTAGAGATGCTGGAAGCTGGAAGGAATAAAAGACAGAGGCGAGAGAGTAAAAATGGGGGCTTTTCAGGTTGGAAGAGGGGTGTGATGGACCGGGGGTGGGGGAGGTGGGCATCAGAGACGATGACAAGAGGACACAGTACTGAGCGTATCCAGCAGCATTAGGCTGTAAGCTGTGTCATCTGCTTTGAATAAACAAATGAAATAAAAAATGCAAACTTTTTTTCTGGGACAGCTTTAAAGGCTGTACACTGTGGCAGTGATCTGAGCTCTACACCGGCAGGGCAAACTCTCGATGGGGCATGAACAAACTGTGATGCTGAAGTGCAGGATGTTTGATAATAGTGGGATGCAGAGAGAGGAGACCTACGGAAACACTGGGGTCTTTCCCCACTCCAGTTGCCGTTCCCCTGGCAGGTGAGAGTGGCCGGCAGGGAGAGCTGGTAGCCCTCGACGCAGGCGTAGCTGACACTGGAGCCCCACTGGAAGTCTGTCCCCACCACCTGCCCGTTCGGGATGGCGGAAGGCAGGCCGCACACGATGGCTGCAGAACAATCCGGGGGCGGGGCTTTAATCATGGGCAGCATCAGAGAATAAGGCGGCAGAACGCGAAACAGTGCAATGGGACGACTGGAGTTTCAGTCATCTGGGCTGAGGAGGCCCAGGAAGTGCTGCTTTCCATTGAGGGGCTTAGTGCAGTTTTCTCTCTATGGCGGGGGGGATGGGTGGGGCCATTAACCCTGGCTGAAGGCTGATTGGCCCCGCACTGCACTTCCCCAGTCACTCGCCATTTCAGAACATATCATTTGCTAATGATAAGGGTGGCCCCTCTGTATGAATTACGGCCCCTGTTGTACGGCCCCCAACATATAAAATCCTAGAAACGCTCCTGCTCAGCTATAGCAACAAGAAGCAGTAGCCTGACACAGGCCAAGCTGAGAGGGCTGACACAGGCCAAGCTGAGGTTGTCACCTAAGATGGCACTAATTAGACATTTGATGCCAGGAGACAATGAGAGGGTAAGACAAGTGGAGGATTACAAAAAATACTTTGTAGAGAGGTAACTCTGAATAGGGCTCGGCGACGGAGGCCTGAC